TAATTCAGCAATCTCCCATTTCAGTCTGTTTCTGAAATTCCTTTGCAATAAAACAGCTACTCTGAGGTCCTCCATTAAGTGCCCTGGGAAATGTTCTCCTACAGGTTTCTCAGTTTTGTGATTCTTGATGTCAGATTTGTGTCCATTTTCCTTTGGCATAGGGTTTGACCTGTTTGTCCTATGTAGAGAACTGAAGGGCATTGTTGGCATTTAAATGATAGAAGAGGAACAAGTGAATAAGCCTGAGATGGTGTAGTTGATATTGTTAGGTCCAGTGATTGACTTGTATGGGTGTATGTGGCAGCAAATTTGGCATCTGGGTTTGTTGCAAGTTCTGGTACCAGTGTCCATGCTCAAATTAGATATTGTATTATTGTGGGTGAGAAGTTGTTTGAGACTGGGAGGCTGTCTGTGCTGTTTGGGTTTGCCCCTCAGTACTTGTGAAAGAGAACTGTCATTGTCCAGTAGAGGTTGTTAAATCAGCGATGAGGCACTGAACTGTTTTGAGTTGTGAACTATATGTGACCACTAGTGGTGTTCTGTTATTGTCTCTTGTGTGCCTGCCTTGCAACAGGTTTTCTCTGGGTACCATCTAGCTTTGTTAATCTGTTTCTTAGCTTCATCAGGTGGGTACTTTAGTTCCAAAAAGGTTTGTTGTAGATCCCTCAAGTGAGAACCTCTGTCAGTAGTATTGGAGTAGATGTGGCTGTAGCATAGAGCCTGGCTGTATACAGTGGATCATTTGGTATATTTAGGATGGTGGCTGGAGACATGTACGTATGTGTGTCGGTCAGTAGGTTTCCAGTATAAGGTGGGGTCTATGTGTATTTTTACAGTAGTGTCCAGAAAATTTATTTCTTGCATAGATTGTTTCATTGTCAGGTTGATTGTGGGGTGAAAGTTGTTGAATGCCTTCTGTTTCACTTCTTGCTCACAGAAGCTTATTATACCTTGAATAAAACTCTGTTTCCACTGGACTCAAACTTTGTTCTGCTTCTTCAGACCAACGCAGCTACCCCACCTGAATCTAATCTCCCAACTGTTATCTTTAAATGAAAAGCAACTGTGGGATTGGGAATGAAGTAAGGGTGTGTGTAAAGTGCCATCAAGTCACAGCCAGTTTGTGGCAACCCTGGAGGTTTTTCAAGGCAAGAGACTAACAGAGGTAGTTTGCCATTGCCTTCCTCTCCATAGCAACTTCTGTGCTCTCCCATCTAAAACCTAACCAGGGTCAACCCTGCTCAGCTTCCAAGATCTCATGAGATCAGGCTAGCCTGGGCCATTCACTTCCTTACTGAAGTAAGGGTGTGAGCTGCTTAACCCTTTCCCTCAGGCCATTTTCTGCTCAAAATCCTGTACACCATTTTCTATGGGGAGAGGACATAGACTGACTACAGAAAAAAAAAACCTTTAGGTGAAAAGGCACTGGCAGGGGAAGATCTTGAGTGGGAAGGGAAACAGTTAACAACCAGTCTCCTACTCTTCCACTCCCCCTGGGATTCCCCTCCCCAAGACATTTCTTCTGACACCAGTTATGGCAGGTCAGGTCACCCATAATATCTTCATTTTACCGCTTGTTAACATGTCTTAAGTCAGACTCCATTTTGTATTTTTTCTAAAATATGTGAAGTAGCCATTCAGTTTAAAACTAGGCCTGAAACATCATTATCCTCATCATGTTTCATCTCCACATTCAGAGAAAGAAACTCTCTTGTGAAGGATATATCCAAAGTACGCTATAGGACTCTCCAAGAGATTAAAGCCATTCACCTAAGGCTGCATTTCACACCTTGGACACAGAATCTGCTGTGGAATTCCAGGCATCCAGCATAAAGTCACTATGAATTTGTTTCTGACATCTGTCTGTAAACGAAATGAAAATATAACAACACACAGTGGATGTATTATTTGAACAAAAAATGGCCTCTGAGGATTTGGGCCAAAAAGGTTGACAAATTGTTCTATAAGTTTCTCTTTCACCTTTTCTCTGTAAACACTCAACAGACCAAAGCCCAGCCAATTGTTCTTCAGTCACCTTACAGCAAACATGCTCTGGATGACAGTGTTAGGCCTGGAAGGGCTGGGTTTAACTCAGTATTTGCCAGGGAGCCCCACCTCTCTCTCTCCATCTTTCAAATCTTCTTCCCTTTCCCATTTTGGCTGGGCACTTCTCTCAGCACAGAACATACAGTGCTCAGAAATGCATGGACAGAGTGGGGTAGAGATTTATATAGTGTGCCCATATCTTGTAAAATGTGCACAGGCTGCATCATTAGAACAGAACAAGCAGTATTTATATGAGCTCCCTGCTAACCCAGAGTCCATGTCCAGCAGCCAAAGCCTGCTATGCTCTTGCTTGTAGTAGTTTACCATCTCAGAAATCACTCTAGACTACTTGCTGACTAGGTGGAAATGTGCACAGAGGCCTGTAGCTACAGTGGGGCATCTCAGGGCCAGGCCCCCCAACTTACTGGCAAGACCCCACAACTCCCCATCCAGCCCAGGGCCCTTGAGCGGTGGTGAGTGCAGGGAAGGAGCTGGGTATTCCTGCGCAGCTGCCTGGCACTATGGTGGCAGTGCAGAGCCAGACAGCACCTATTTCCCCCAAAAAGTCTATTTAACTTTAATTAAATTACCTCTAATTCGATTAGCCAGTGCCCCCTAAGAAATTTAAATGCCCCCTGACTAAAAAAAATCCTGGCTATGGGCCTGTGTGCACATGTCGATGAATATTAAAAGCTTCAATCAGTTCTCGCTTGCAAGTTGCAGGTAGTCAATACAGAAGAGGCTTCTTAGCCCAGATGAGCACACGTGCCAGAATGAGACGGTATAATGGATTTTAGGTGGATGCTTTGTTTTGTGGTTTTTAAATTACTTCCCTGCAAATAGAAACTAGCCTACAAGTAGTAGTGGTTGTAGCCTAGCAATCTCCCTACTATACTAGTTTTCTACTAATCGGGAGGATTTGGGGGGGGGGGTAGTAGAATATTGCCTCACCTGAAGTACTAGTCAGGGTTGCCAGCTCCAGGTTGGGAAATACCTGGAGATTTTAGGGGTGAAGCCTGAGGAGGGTGGGGTTAGGAACTTCAGTGGGCTACAATGCCACAGAGTCCACCTTCCAAAGCAGCCATTTTCTCTATGTGAATTAGTATCTTTCACCCAGAGATGAGTTGTAATAGCGGGAGATCTCTAGCTATCAGAGGTTGGCAACCATAGTACTATTGTACCACTTCATTCTGTTGTGATGTGTAGACCTCCAGTTGGGGAGCCCATGTTCCAGCCATATCATGGTGGTTAATATTTAACCAAGCAGCCTTGCCACAGTTGGCTGTTCAGTGCCCAGCAACCAACATACCCACTTGCCTGTCATGCAGCCTCTGAAGCCACTGCAATGAGGCCAAAGCGGTCCCACTGTACAGGCCACCTGGCAACTATTTCCAGTGAGAAAAACTTCACTGGTTACATTTGCCTGTTTTGACAGTCCTGCCACTGGCATCAACAAGCCACCTTGAAAAGTATGCAGACGGAGAGTGATTTCAGCAAAGTGTACTTTATTCGATCAGGAACAAAATGACTTTGGCCGGCTCGCAGGCCGGCTTATATTCCCCGAGAAACCGCCACCCAAACCACACCCCCACTTCCCAATAGGTTATTCACAGTGGCCGAGAGTCCCATAGGCTCTTGGCCGGGAACTTAGCCCCCTGATTGGAGCAGGCTAGGATCCGCATAGTCCATTGTCTTTTGGAGCGAGGCTCGACGTTTGTGCCTGACTGCGTGGAGCCCAAGCCGGCCACGCGATCTGGACTGGATACATTACACACCTCCTTCCCCATTCTGGGTTGGGGAACTGCAGAAAGCAGCGTAGCAGGATTGCCAGTGCCAACTCTGGATTATGAAATCCTTGTAGATTCGGGGGGGGGGGGTTTGCACTGGAGGCTGGGAGGACAGGGTTTGGTAGGGGTCAGACCTCCGTAGGGTATAATGCTACAGAGTCCACCTTCCACAGCAGCCATTTTCTCCAGGGGAACTGATCTCTATTGCCCAGAGGCCAATTTTAATTCCAGGAGATCCCCAGCCACCACCTGGAGCACTAAGGCCGTAGCACAGTGTAAAAAAATACAAATTGACATGTATCAAACTTGCTTTCAGTGTGCTACCATTATATATTTATACCACCTGGAGACTGGCAACCCCACATGAGAAGGCCTTCCCAGCTGGGCCTGGCTCACTAGCTGAACTTTGTAGCTTAAAGGCCTGGCCGCTGCTGCAGTGTGACGAAGGCAACTGCAATCGATTCCCTTGCATAACCCTATGCAGCCAGGTCAGAAACCCTGGCGCCCGTAAATGCAAGGCCAATCCCAAGACAGGGCAGCAGGGACAGGCACGTGAAGGCAGCGTGCAGTGCAGTGCATGAACGGGGTTCCAAGGGCAGTTTAGGTGGCCACAAGTGGGCTCCCTCTCGCCCAGCTCATAGCTCGAGGGTTATTAGAGCGACTATAGCCAGGCCCCCGGCCCTCCAGGTGTGCCTAGGCAGGTTGCTCCTCTCTTGCGGAATGCGACGGCCTGTCCTCCTCTGCTGCATCGCACCTGCTGGTGAGCGGCGTCAAAGTCCCCCAGGGGACCTGACGGCTTTTGGGCCGGGTAATTTGGAAAAGGCTTACCGGTTCCCCCTCATGGGCTCCGGTTCCTGCTGGCCGATTCCCCCCGGGGGTGTCGTCAGAGGCGGTTGAAAGTCCTCTCGCTCGCGACGAAAGATTAGGGGGCAAAGGGTCAGGCTTGCTAGCGGGCGCTGAGGTGCGATCGGCGTGTTCTCCAGCGCCGGCTTTTACGCGCTAAAGGCAAGAGGGGAGGAGAAAGAAAGTTTCATCATCGCTCCAGAGAGCGGAGCGGGCTTATAAAAACGCCCGGCTCCGGCGCTGTCGCTTGGCTGGCTTTCCATCCTAGCGGATGGGAAGGTGAGAGAAAGTAAGGCAGGCACCTGACTGTGGCAGTCCGTGGAGCTGGAAGCTCACGGTTAACAGGCGCTTGGACCCCGGAGGAGTTGCTTGAGAGCGGTGAGCCGGCGACAATGGGAGTTCAGACCGACAATGGCAAGGCTCCGAGAATCGCCGGCAGCCGACAAGGTTTCAGCACCTGCTTCGGGAACGCCGACTGCAAAATAAAGGTACAATCTCGCCACAGTTGGGGAAGTGTGGGAGAAAGAAGGGCTTCAGCCAACCATTTGTATTTAAATAAGGAAATAGGCTTTAATACACCAGAGTCTAAAGTTTAAAGTTAAACTAGCTGACTTGGGAGTGTTTTAAATTCTGGGCTGCATCTGCATTGCCAGTCAATTCCTGCTGGAAGTTTTAGAGCAGATTTAGGGAGCAGTTCTAAACAGGCCTACTCAGAAGTAAGTCCTTTATTTTTCTGTAGGCCTTAGTCTTGGATAGTGTTTCAGGATTGCAGCCTTAATCTTATTGATCCCAGTGGGGCCATATCTATTTATATCTAAGTCCCTTAAACTTAGGGGCTTTTGAATCCATAATGGCATAGTTCCCTGAACTGTGTCCTGTATATGCTTACTTGAGAGTAAGTACTATTGAACTCACTGAAGCATACTTCTGAGTCAGCAAGCACGTAACTGTGTGCATACATAACTTTTGTTGCAAAACATTACTGAAAGTTAGAGGTTCTCGTGTCAAATAAATTCTAGCTAGGTTGTAGTAATAACCTGCGTTTATAGGGTTGGTTGCTAAGTTATTCTTCTCTTTAGCAAAACACATGACTTTGTTTACATACACCTGAGTGCTTTCAGCCTGATTCATAGTTTCAGTGCAACCCTATGTGTGTCTACTCAAAAGTAAGTCCCATAATGTGTGGTGCTTCTTCCCAGGTAAGTGTGCATAGGATTGCGCTGTCAGAATACTTTTTGTAAAGGTTTATTCAAGGTATGAGCTTTCGTGTGCATGCACACTTTATATAAAAAAGTGCATGCACATGAAAGCTTATACCTTGAATAAAACTTTGTAGGTCTTAAAGGTGCCACTGGACTCTAAATGTGTTGTACTGCTTCAGACCAACACTGCTAACCAACTGGATCTACTTTTTGTTTGTCAATGGGAATCTGCTTAAGTCTCTCTACTGAACTGGATGGTGATTCATCTATCAATCAGTTACTACACTAAGTTATTGTTGCTTTGCTGGAGGTGATACCATCTGACTGCGGCCATTAGGGGATATGAGGCTGTGTTTTTGTAGCATTGCTGTTAATTCTCCAATGGGACATTTAAAAGCCTCACTTCCCCACCTTCTGGTGGTGATGGCTTGTTGTAGGGTTGGGGGTTACAGCTTTGCCTCTTGGGTATGTGTGTGTTCTGTGCATTCAAAGAAACTAGTAGTCACTAGTGCACACTCTTGCCAGCAGAAGACTGTTGAAGTACTGAAAGACGCAGTCTTTGCAGAATAGATTCTGGTTCGCCCCCCCCCCCCCCCCGCTGGAAGAAATGAAAGGCAGCTGTTCAGCAGCTGGGAGAACAAGCATACCATCTGAGCATCTCTTGTGGCCCTTTGATGGGCCACCAAAGAAGTTCAGAAAGATTAGAAGAAAGTGGAGGGAAAGAAAAGACTAATGAGTTTCCTAAGTTAGAGGGCAGTTTTGGTGCTGTGTCAGGCTGCTATCCAGAGCATACATATTTGGGACCCACTCCAAGTGGGTGGTAGAGGCTTGGCGCCTTATGGAGGAAGGCTGGTTAAAAAGGCCATCTTGACCATATGGGTCATGGTGACAAGGTGGGCTGTGGAGAAAAAAACCTGTAACCAGGCACTTTGTAACCAGCTGACCAAGAGGGAAACTCTAATCAAAAGCAAGTTTCTTGTTTGTCTGAAACAAGAGACCACTGAATCTCAAAGGTGCACAAAAAGTCCCAAAGAGGGCAAAATATTTGTAAGATGAATGAGGAGACACATATGCTGGGATGACTAAAATGATCTAGAGTGCAAATGGAGTGATGTGATTGCTTATATTCTTTGGGGATGGAGGCGGACACTGATGAGGCTGCTGTAAGCTCCCCTGAAATGACAAGAGAGGACCAGTTATAAAGAAACCTGCCATCGGAGATTACTCTGAGGCTTGTCATGAGAACTTTGGCTGATGGTGGTAGAGAATCATGATCTCACCTTCCCTTATTTGAATGGCAAGGTCAGCAGGGACAGGTGCCCCCCGCGCTTGATTCACTTGTACATGCCAGAGCAGGGAAAGAGGTGAAGGTGCTATGCTGTCTGCCGGCATTATGTAAGAATGCTGTTTACAGTCTGATAGTAGCACCACAGGGGAAGGTTTGCAAGTGTTTGAACCTGGAGTTTCATGAGGTCACTTAGCAGGTTGGAAATGTTTTGGCTGACGTAGGACCTGTCGGAAAGCAACCCCTGCGACTAGTTCTTAAGAATCAGTGCTCTTTCCTTGTATTTTTCCATGCCAAAATCCATCTCCTTGGCCCATTCTCTCCCTTGCATTCTACAACTTCGTATGTAGACAGTTACCTAGGTGGGCTCTTTGCAGAGAGTAGCAAGACAAGAGGAGCTCAGCATTCCACACAAGGGCTAACAGTATCCTCTGCTATTAACCTGCATCATAAAATTGTGTAGAACAATGCTTGTTGACTGTTAATGAACTTGTATAATGGGTGGAGGTCTGTGTACAATAGATGCTGACTTCACCCACTCTGTCCCCACTCTGAGTGAACATATTAGTTATTTTCTGGATTGTGTTCTAAACTAGCCTCTCCTTGAAACACATCTAATGAATGTACACTTCAGTGCATCTGATGGTGAACTCTGACTTTCAATATCTACCTTATGCTGGTAGTAAATTGTATTAGTCTTTGAAGTGTCACTATTGTGCTGCTGAAGACTAACATGGCTACTCATCTGGAATATATATATATAAAGGCAATGGCGACTCATATAAAGACTCTGAGGCCACTGGTGTAAACTGTCCTGTTCTTGTTCCAGTTGCTGTTCTTTAAAGGTTCAATGAGGCAATTGGCCTCACCCCTTGAAGAATCAAGCAGGACCAGATAGTAACAGATGTTCCCACCCCTAGGAAGTGAGGCTTTTCTTCACCCAGGTAGAGGGATAAAGGGTTCTGACTCCTAACACCAGCAGTGGTGACTGCTGAAGACACAGGGGCAGTCCTTTCCCTGGTTCTTTTGCTCTAACTGCTGTTTTTAAAGGTTCCGTGAGCTGTCCTGTCCCTGGTTCTTTTGCTCTAACTGCTGTTTTTAAAGGTTCTGTGAGGGAAATAGCCCCCAGCAACCATGGTCAGGTAGTGTCTGATATTTTGGTCCAAGCCTAGGTATCAATGCAGACTGTAGCTCCTGACTCTTCCCGATGTTGCGAGTGATAAAGGTTTGTCTCTTGCTTTATTTATTTAAAATATTTATAATCTTGTTTTCTTCCTGGACAAAGACTCAAAGCAGGTAACAATGACATTTTAAACAAATATATCTTTTAAAAAAAAGAATCCAGAAAATAGACACTTGTTTTCAAAGTCAGACAATGTCCTGTGCCCTTCCGATGAGCTCACACACACCCACACCCACACATTTACCTCAGAAGTCTTAAGAGTATAAGCTTTATGGACAATGTCAAGGCCAAGGATGTCAGCAAAAATGTGGTGAGTGTGATGGTCTCTTTTTTTGGTTAACCTACGAAGTCATTTTCTTCTGCACACCTGGTGAATCCCCCCCCCTAGACAGAGACTGCTATCTTGGGGGAGGGGCTTGTTTTACTTGCATTCAGGAACCAGCCACTTGACTATTACATATAGTGGTTATGATGTTTAGAACTATATTTTGGTATAGCCTTCATTCTTGTTGTGATTGTACCCATTCAGGTGACTCTTCTGAAATCAGTTGCCATCAAGTCAAAGGAAATGGCTCTCTGTTATGGCAAAATTAGTTTCCTTATTCATTTAAATATGTATAGGCTGCTTTTCTTCCCATTAGGGGGACTCAAAGTGACTTACAGCATCATTCTCTTCTCATCCCCTTTATCCTCACAGCCCTGTGAGTTAGATTAGGTTGAGTGAAAGCTGAGTGTCCAAAGGTTGCTCAGTGAGTGAGCTTCCAAGGCAGAGTAGGGATTCAAATGGGTCTCTCAGTCCAGTGTTCTAACCACTACACCCAGTGGAATGATGTCTGGCGCTGTTATTCAGCAAGAGTCCCTCTGAGCAGGTGTTTTTTTTCTGCCTTACAAGAGCTGGAGCATTTCCAAGAGCCTACCTGTACAGAATGTGTTGACTGTGTTGGGAACTAAACAAAAAGCATAACTCTCATAAGCACCGTTGTGGTAGCTATGAAACACTGCTGTAGTGCCAGGACAAAGCATTCCTTCATGAAATGCACTCCAAGCTCTGGTCTGTCAGCTCGAGATAATGGAACTTCCATTTGTTTTATGATGCTGTGTTTACAGAGTGCCTTTCTTAAAAGTTTCTCCAGAAATAATAAACAGAGTATTTTCAAATAAAGCAAAGGGCCACTGAGCACTCTGTCCCACCTCCTGCTTCTGTTTCATCTTCTGTGAGGGGGGAGTTCATATTGCTGAATCACTTCAACATGACTGTTTGAGGTGGCCCCAGCTGCTGATGCCGCACTCATGATGGAGGAAGGGGCAGCCAGTGCATCTCCTTCCGTTGTGCTTAGATATTTGGTCTCCAGCATGGATGTTATTTTAGGAATTATGGACGAGGGGCAACAAAAGAGAAACTTTTGAGTCCCCCCCCCGAAATGAGTAATCAGTGACTTGAAAAGAGCCTCTGAATTAAGCTGCCAGAATTGCCCAGGGAAAAGTATAACTCAGTTACTTTTCAGTATTGAATGGAATAACATCTAAGGTCCAGGCAAGACCATTTTGAACTGGACCTTTTAAATAAGCAGGAATTCTTTGAAAGGGATGGGGGGTGTTGCTAGCGAGCCCAATTCTAATTCATTAAGAATTCATAAAAGCAGCAGCCTATAAACAGGACTGTGAATATTCTGTGCTGAAGAACTGCAATTATGAATACATTTTGTGTGTAATTTAGACTGCAATCCTATGCACACTTGTTTTGAGTGTAAGAGCCACTGGCTGTGCATTGGTTTATGCTTCTACTAGTCTTGGCCGATCAGCTTATCTGTATGCAAA